GTTTACAGTCAGTTCTACAGTCTTATTTGATTCTGCAACAGTTCTGCCTCTTCATGAATGAGTTTTGATGCTGACCCTGAGCACACTGGGCCTCCGCAGATCTTCCAGGAGACCAAGAGACATATGAGTGTGAATTACACAACTTGGGGTCTAAGCTCTGTCTCATCCACACTCCCCTACACCCTGACACACACACATACACCCACCTTGTGCCACTAAAGGGAAAGCTTAGGCAGAAGAGCAGAGAGGTTGCCTGGCAGGTTTGTGGGAGCAAAGGGCCTGGCCTGGAAGCTTACAAGTTCTGGAGACAAACTTGCATGATCCAAGGGTCACATATCACTTGCATATGAGGTAGACTGGGAGGACCTCACATTGTAATAGGTGTGGCTGAGCCCCTGGCCCAAAGATCAAGTAATTTGTGAAAATTAATTTGTGGAAATTCTTTGAGGAATAAGGTCTCCTCTCCTTCTCTCCGCCCAATTTATGTATCTTGTTTTTATTTTTTGGTATTAGCAGGGATTGAACCCAGGGCACTTAACCATGAGCCACATATTTTATTTTGAGACAGGGTCTCACTAAATTGCTTAGGGCCTTGCTAAGTTGTTGAGGCTGGCTTTGAACTTTTGATCCTCCTTTCTCACCCTCCCAAGGTGCTATAAATAAATTTTTAAAAAGTTTTTTCAAGTAAATTTTTGAAAGAACAAGTCTACCCCCGAAAGCATCAAAACATCTTTTAATCATTTGGAATCATACACTGTCTTAAACTACTTTATGTATTTTCCTTTCAAACTAAATCTAATGTACCTTTTTTTCTGCTGACTAGGGTCTATCTTTAGGAAGTCACATGCAAGCTAGGATTTTATTTGGTGAGGCGGGGTGGGTTGCTGGGATCTCTACCACTGAGACACCTCAGCCAAGCTGACTTTTTAAAAAAGTTTACTTTTATTACTTTTTGCTACATATTTTACAAGTCCTTGTGTCTAGGATTTTGAGCAGATGGCAGGGTGGTAGTGGTTCTGCAACACCCTCTGGTCAAAAGCAGCCTGCCAACAAATGTTTTAGCTCTCAATTCCTCACAAACAGGCAGAGCAACAAGTTAGAGCCCTCTCCTGTCCTGCCAAGTTCTGGACTCCAAGGCAATCGGAGACAGGTTTTGAAGAATGAATACAAATTTGCTTGTAGGGCTAGAGGAACCTCTGTCCAGGCTCAAAGGAAAACCTAAGCGAGGGCTGATGTCACTTTGCAGAGGGACAATGGGCTCAGAGAAGATAAATGGCTTATCTGTCACAAAGCCAGTGAGGGACAGACTGGGACTGGTGTCTGACTTGTCCTCCTGGCCTGTGGGCATCTCCCTCCACCACACCTGCTTCCTTCCTGAGGCCTCCTAGCAGTTTCTCAGTCAGGTTATCCACTATTTCTGCCCACCCTAATCCTCCATGCTTTTCTAATTTGCTGCTCAAGTTGAACAAGGACTGAGAGCTCATTAGAATGGTGTGCACACAGCAGACCAAAGGCTGTCAGCCTGCCACTGTCCCCTTATGTTCCTGTGCCTGAGCTCAATTGCAGCTATTTCATCAACTGGCTTTTTCATTTTTCTTTAGATGTGTGATCATTCTTTATCTGAATTGCTGGCTTCTAGAAAAGTGTGGAATTATTTTATAGGCATGCATTTTTTTATTCATTTAAAATCCACAAGGCTGAGCTGTCTGCCTACAAAACAGTAATTAGATATGCTAAGAGGAAAAAAAGAACAAGAAAGCTATCAACTTCAAAAAAAAAATCAAGAGCTCTGGGCACCAATTCAGCAATGAAGTAGTCAACAGCTGTGAGAAAGACTTACTGATGAGGTGGGCCCACACAAGCTCATCTGCCAGGCGGCAGACAGGAGGATGAAGCTAATTAGGCGCATAGGCCGCATCTCGGCACTATGTCCACAGCACTCTCCATCAAACAGCTCAAAACACTTCAATTTGTTGAGAGCTTTTGCAGAAAAGTAGTGTCAGCCCTGGTACCTATTCTCCGTGTGTGCCTCAGTGACCTGACCAAAGCCCAATGCAGCCCACACAAGGAATCCTTGTTGAATGACTAACTCCTCCCAATGTGCACAGTGCTTTGTAAAAATCTTTAAATGCTGTCATTAAAATGTTGCTCCTTCTCACCACCTCACAGGATTGGGGTATTAGCCCTACTTTACAAATTAGGATCCAGATTCAGAGAGATTAAGTGGCTATGCCTGAGCTCCATCAGGAAGCCTGATGAGAAGCCTCAGGCACCCTTACTATCTCTGTAAAGTGGCCTCTCCATGACAAAAGGAAGCCAGTACTGAAGGGGCCTCTATGATGGTGCAGGCCCCAAACTAATGTAATCAGAAAAGGGCAGGGTTGTTCTCAAGGTTTTAGAAATTAAGAAATGGGGGTTCTTAAAATGCTCAATAACTCCATGAGAGTCACAGCTTCAAAGTTGCAGAGCTGCAGAGACATGCCCGTTGCCACTGGGCATTCAGAATCCAGCTTCTACAGAGCAGGTACTGACTGCACTGTACCACCCAGCAAACTCTACTCTATGTGTATCCCGAGAACATGAGGGACACAGGGATGAACTTTTTTCCAGACACAGATCTATTTAGTAAATAAAAAAGAAAAAAAGATTAATCAGACTCAAACAAGGATCACTGGAATCCAGCCTTGGCTGGGCTGCTAGTCATAATTCAGATCTGAGTTACTCTTCTGCTTTGAAAACCTCACAAAACTTCTTAATAGTAGCCCACTGAATTCACGCAGCAAACTCTTACTGTTTGCCAAATACACACACATGGCCCTGCCCTGCCTCTGGGAACTTTGCCCATTCTGTCTCCCCCCTCTATAATGTAAGCTTTTATACATCTTTCACCCAAATAACTTCCACGAATCTTCCCTTTTCTTTGAGCCAGAATTAAGTTTTCTCTGCATTCCATAGCCAGGTTCTACAGCTCCATGACAGAATTTATCATATGGAGTTATAAGTAATTGCTAATATACCTGTGCCCCCCCCAAGAGAATGTGGCCGAGGTCAAGGCTTCTTAATTTGTATTAATTTTGTTTAGCTCAGTCCCCTGTATGTGTGTATGTGCACGCACACACATGGTGCACTCAATAAATGCTAAATGGTTGGCTGACTGTGTAAAGAACAAGATTTTAATAGTTAACCCAGTTTCAATATGAAATTCAAAACAATGAAGACAGGACTCAAACATAGCAGGAAAATAACATACTTTTAACTCTCAAAATAAATACTAATCAATTTTATTTTATAAATACAGACGCTCAGTTTTTTTCCAATTACCAACAGATTAGTTTCACATGCCATTTATTATTGGTGGTGGTTTAAAAAATTATTTAAATAACCAGTTAGGTCAGGATAAATGGGCACCATTAGAACTGCTAAAAAAATATAGCTGGGTATACAATCTTCCAAAACTAATATTCTGAGGGAAAAAAAATCTGTGGAATTTCTAAAGTGGTTAAGGAGAAGTGGAGAGAGAAAACATAATCAAATATTCATTTGATAACATTTGCTGGCTGTTAAAAGTATCTTAGCTATATGAAAACCAAAGGGGTTCTTAGCAGTTCAGAAATAAGTAATAATGAGTTTCCATTTCAACTTATCTCTTCCAAGCAAATTCTACTTTTTTGAATGATTTACAAGAGTAATTAAAAAGATGAATAGGAGATAGACCATCTTGTCTTTTGGCCTTAGCCACTTTAAACAGAGGTAAAATGAATTCTTAAGTTTTGGAAAATATCAAACCATTATTCTTGGAGACATGTAATTCTGTAGATTCTACCCAGGTCACGGCAGAAAGTGCAGGTATCAAACAATCTCAAATGAAAACCCCAAGCCCAAACTAAATTCATCCAAACCTAAGTGATGTTTTGATGCATACATTGGTAGACAGCATGGATCACGTGAAAGTATAGGCAACTACTGATCAGTTCTGTGCAATCCAATTACAGTCAAGGGCAGGGCTCCACGCTACCTTGTCTACAAAGTGAAGAGCTCCAGGCTCTATCTGTTTGTGTGGAATCTGAGATGAACCCTGTAGTCCTGAGGCTCTGTATGTGGCCCTACTGCTTGATGGTGCCAGAGGCGAGCTGTGTGGTACCACAGGGGCTATGACTGAACTCACCTAGTGAGGTTAGCAGCCCCACTTCTGGAGAAATCATAAATCAGACATGATTCACCTTCCTCTCTTCAATACTAAAACTGATCTCCAAACAGCTTTTCCCTTAGCAGATGTTACTTCATGGGAGAACCCCATAGCATGATGCACTTATCTAAGATGGTGCCTCTCTCTACCCTCTTTGACTCTTAACATGAATGACAGCACACTGCAAAGAAGTTCCTGCTCAGATGGCCTTTGCTCAAGTTCTAAAGTAGCCCCACTCTTGATGTGGGATAAGATGGGCTTTCTTTCTTTTTTTTTTTTTTTTAATATTTTTTTAGTTGTAGATGGACACAATACTTTTTATTTTATTTGTTCATTTCTATGTGGTGTCGGGGATTAAACCCAGTGCCTCACGCATGCTAGGCAAGTGCTCTACCACTGAGCCACAACCCTGGGCCCAAGATGGGCTTTCTTAATAAAATTCAAGCTTTATCAAATCGCATGAGAGCTGGATCTGTCTGCTATACAATTAATTCTGTGAGTTCTCTACATGGAAAATAACAACATGAAGTAGTCCATTTAATAATGTAGCTGTGAATTAAAACTAGGCCCAGGAATGCTTGGACATAATGTGAAAATAATGAGACCTATGAGTTAAGCTGCTATGTAGGACAAATGAAGCTATTGGAAAGTATACCTGTGAAGTATGTTGTGTTGCTACACACAAAATGTAAACTCAAATGAAGTCAACAGTGTCAGCTTAGAGACAGCTATGGCTCTTGTTCAGGCTAGTCTTGTCATGATGTAATATAAGGAGACGTACATTTAAAAGGAATTTCAGAACTGGGGAAAAAAATCAGGTCGAGTGAAGTAAGTTCAATTTTTATTTTTCTATACAATACATGGATATATGGATAAATTTTCCTTAAAGAGCTTGCAACCCTGAGGCAATGTCCTTGGGTACATAATGTATAAAGCAACAGCAAATGAAATTTGAATGCAGGAATGACAATTGGACTGCAAAACATAATTTAATATTTATGAAATTGCACACATACCAATAATAATATTCTCTATGGCTCTCTAATCACTTAATCCAACTATCTCAACTGCTTTGCAGTTTGTATATTGGACAGCCTGACCCTCTACATATATTTTGTCATTTACAAAGCCTTTCTTCTGACTGGAATTTAATAAATTAACAAGGGATTTACATATAGGGATTTTTGTCTGGTGTACTGCCAGAATGCACGCCTAGTTCTTGCCCATATAAAAACTTTGCCCCCTCCCCCCATGTCAAAGAAAACTGGATGCCATCTGACTGCAGTAATCTTGGGGTCCTTCAGGTTCCCCTGGGAGTTCCTCAGAGGAAGTTTCTCATCTAATTTGAAAGTTAATCAAAGGTGTGGCAAAGGAGATGAAAGGTCATGACTGATTAGAAGAAATGGAACCTCAAGACTACTGGGTTTTAGACCAGTGAACCTGACCTGTTCCCGGGCTACACGGCCCAACCATGGTGAAGATGAGGCAGTGGGGGAGTCTACAGATTGAGTGTGGTGTCTGGGGGCAGGACACGGGCAAAGGGGCCTGGGAATAAGGAGACCACTCTACTTCTTATTCACCAACCTACAAGATGGCCACAGATCCTTCAGAAATGGTAGAAAGCTGTTTCTGAATATTCCATTTCCCCAAAGTTTTATAAACTATGGTGAGGGCAAATGCTCATGAGAAACTAAAGGTGAGTTCATTATATTACTTATATATTATCATCTTCCCTCTGAGGATTACATAGATGTGTAAATGAAAAGCAGACAAATGCCTATAAGGTGACTCGAGCTATAAGCTCGTTCAACTAGAGGGTGACTTTTGCCTTAAAACAATCATCAGGGCTAAAAAGCAAATCCTGAAAGCAAAATCTAATTTCGCCTGGCCCATTGATATACAATGATCCTGAGTCCCTCCTCTAGTCCCAAAGTTTGTTTCTCTGAGGAATATCCTCCATTAATATTTGCTTTGTGTCATAATTATTAAAAAGGGTAAGTGCAGCTTTTCCCATTTGGGGCAGGGATGCTGCCCTGGTCCTGGTGTCTGTCTGCTCACTTCACTTATCAGAACTCCTGCGAGGCCGGCGGAAGCTGGATACGTTTTCATTGAGAGCATAGATCCTGCGGGAGAACTCCTCGAACTCTCCTAGGACCTGTTCGTCACACTCTACTGCCACAGCACTGTCCACTGGGATGCAGTTAAACGCTTCCAGCTGATCGCCTGAGGTGAAACCTGTGGCTTCCAGCCCAATGATTTCTTCTGCCTGCTCCACGGTACAGCAAAGCTCAGCTCCTGAGGCCGGGTGGAACTCACCTGGAAGCTGGACGCCGGCAGAGCCAGCCTCGCCGGGCAGCAGGGTGCCATTTACTGTGGTAGGATGCCAAGAGGTGGCTTTTCCTCGATCCTGGTTAGTGGTCACACTCACATGGTCTTCATTTAAGCTGTCATGCAAATCTATTCCTTTTTTCTGGTTTTCTTTGGAGAAGTCCAAGGAGGTGTCCAAGGAGGACGACAGAGATGCTGTCTTTCTCTCAGACTCTCCCACAGAAGGGATGGTGGTTACAGGCTGTGCTAACGCTGAGTTGTAACTGGGAGGAGGGGTTTTGTACTGGAGTCTCTCATTCTCTGAGTTGGCCCGTTTTCGATGTCCTTTGTCTGGTGAAGGGATCCCCCCTGAGAAGCCTACATCTGCACCCCCAAATATGGAGCTTTGTCTCTTTGGAACAGGGATTGCGCTGGAGGTGTGATGTCTGTCACTAGAAGACAAACAAAAATGAGAAGTTACTTTCTACTTCAGCACTCAGCTTAAGCCTTCTGGGTCCAGGGACAGGAAACGGCATATTTTAGGTTTGAGATAATAATCAATCTTAAGACAGTACTTATATTGTCCCAATGCAAGAAACAGCATGAAGAATGCTGGATCCAGCCTTGGGAAACTTCAAGGATACAGACACATTCACTATATTTAAGAGAAGAGTGCCCAGGAAGGAATGGGGCTAGAACACCCAGGACGCAGTGGAAGGAGCTGGCTGACTGGATCTGGAAAGAAAACACATGAAGGATGCAGTTGATGCCACAGATATCTGAAGGGCACTGAATGTCTTGTTTTTAATATTCAATCCTTAGTTTATCTTCATGGAACAGTCATCCTCATCTGGCAGAGAAGATAAAGGACTTGCCCTTGATAACTCAGGAAGGCAGTTGACAGAGTAGACTAAAACCTGGGACTCGAGACTTGACAATTAACAGCCTCTCCAATACCCAAATGCTAACCACTCTGCATTAAAGAACTGGAAGAGAACATCAAGGGGACTTTTTCTTTCTTTCGTTTTAATGAAAAATTAACTTGGGAGATGACTTCTCCTTTACAAGGCTAGCCACACACATGTTTTACAGTCCTCAGTCTTCAGTGCCTTCGTTTGAGCCTGAATTACTTCTCAGGAAGATATCTTTGAGCCAGCAATAATAATCACTGTTGAGCTATACAAAGCTTTATAGTTTCTGAAGTAATTTCACATACATCATTTTGCTTAGTCCTTGTAAAAACCCTGTCAAGAAAGCAGGGTAGGCATTATTATACTTGAGTCTGAAATAATAAATAATAATCAGTTAATGGCAATAGACTATCCAGACCCTGGAAATGATGGTTGTATTATATACTATGTTAGTTAAGCCCCTGCCAGAATATTGATAACAGTTCTAGATATTACTATATGTGGATGAAATTGGCTTTAATATAACTAAATCCACAGACTGGGTTGAGAGGCAGAGAGAGGCATGATCACAAGAACCACTTGACATGTATTCTTCAGATGAGGAAATATACACAGAATAGTTAAGTGGTTGGTAAAAGGGTAGCACTAGGCAGGAGCAGAGGCAGGACTTGAAATCATAGACATCTGACAACTAGTTACTATGTGCACTAGGCCTTGCGGAGGGAGACGGATGCACATCAGCAGGCTCTGACTGTAAGAAACTTCCAGTCTTGCAGGAGAATAACATCCATAATTATTCAAGTAATACATTTTCAAATTACAATTTCTGTAAGTGCACTAACAAAGAAGAAGGGATCTAGGGTCCCTCTACCTGTGTCTATAGCCCAAGCTCCGAATGAGCTCTCTGCTCCCCCTTCTCTCAGGTGTTCTCATGCTGGATTAATCCTGTGGCCTCAGACACTCAAGCAGCCTTGAGAAAAGGTGACCATGAGGTTTGTAACCACAGGCCTGTGAGACCTTCTTGCTTCACTCTAAGTGTGGGGTGCCAGGAGAGATTTCATAATTAGGGGTGGTCACCGGGGTACTTATTAAACTGGGCAAGAAGATCAGTAAATTACCATTTTTAGTTTCCAAGAAATACAGAAAAAAACTAAGCAAAATCCAGTTTAATCTAGGTCTTCAGTTAATATGTTGTCAAAACTCACAGTAATTGGTTAAGCTACACATGTGGCCGGCTTTATTGTTTTTGCTTTACCACTTGCTGACAGTGTCCCTCTCTAAACGATTTTGCTGGTTGACTAGGTAATCAAACCAAAACAGAGCATCAGCACCACCCAGAGAGTCTCCTCTGTACAGACAAGCCCAGGAGGCTGGCAGCATCAGCTGGGCCAGCCTGCAACATCCAAGCAGAGGGTGCAGGGGCGTGATTAGAGGCCAGGGCCTCAAGTGCTCCAGGCTGTGAAGAGTGAAGAACCTGATAGCTCCCTCTGCCTGCCCTTGCCCCCAAGCCCCTCGAATCCTGCTCTGCTTCTCTGCTGGGCTCCTGGTGGGCTGAAAAAAGGCAGAGCATCAGGAACCAGCTTGGACACACCTAGAAGTGCCTAAGACACAAGAGGAAAAGAGTTTCACTGATTTCACCTCCCAGAGAGCTTTCTTTAACACTGCATTCCACAGAAGTAATAAAGTGTGATACCTGGACCACCAACTACAAAGGAAAGGGAATGAGATCGCTAATGTTCCTAGCACTGTGGAAAGTCCTCTGCTACTCTTGGAACCCTTACATGTGCCCTGTGATAAAGGTAGGCAGGTAGCGATCATGTGGGTTATTTAAAGCTGAAGACCTACAATGGAACTGACCTTGAGCCCATGCTGACTCGGCGTCCCAGCGGGGAACTTTATATTCAAACTCAACTAATATTTTCTAAGTAAGTGCCAATAAATGGCACACAAGCCAAACGCCATTACACAGGGCTTCTCAATTTCCCACAAGCCCTAAGCTGCCATGCTACCCCTCTTCGTGGATGGATTCTAAAACTTGAGAGGTGGAGACTTATATACCAATTTTGTGATATTGTTCTTCTGTTCCCTTGAATGTTTATGAGAACTCAGGTAACAGTATCAGATAAAATTGGAAAATTATCAAGAAAACATTCTCTCTTATGAATGGTGAGGAAATGAGGTATTCTGGATAAACAACAAAAAAGTCTACATAATACCTAAAATTTTATCACATTTTATTTTTTTCTTTCGATTTTCAGCTATGTGAGAGAAAAACTTAACTATTTTTTAAAATAAAGTCTTACATTTTAAAAGAACTAAACAAAATGGGTATTTTCTTGATGACTTGATGATTGTGGGCCATTATTCTGGACCTGTATTATTAAGTGATGACACAGTCCAGAGTCCAGAGGGTTTTCAGTGACACTGGTTTCTTAGGATCCAAGGTTTTTTTTGTCTTCTCTCACTGTAGATTTAGAATGTTTCTAAACTTTTATTATTACAGAATAAATTGCTATAAGCATTTCTGTGTAAAAACAATGTATATATTTTAAGTGAAACAATTCTGATTTTCATATTTAAGAGGTTTTTGAGAAGGACCCTTTATTAGTCATTAGTACAAGTTAAATTTTTTAAAAAAATATTTCTTTAGTTGTAGGTGGACACAATACCTTTATTTTATTTATATGTGGTGCTGAGGATCGAACCCAGTGCCTCACATGCATGAGGCGAGTGCTCTACTGCTGAGCCACAACCCTAGCCCCACAAGTTAAAATTTTTTTTTTTAAAGAGAGAGTGAGAGAGATAGAGGTAGAGAGAGAGAGAATTTTAATATTTATTTTTTAGTATTTGGCGGACACAACATCCTTGTTTGTATGTGGTGCTGAGGATCGAACCCGGGCCGCACGCATGCCAGGCGAGCGCGCTACTGCTTGAGCCACATCCCCAGCCCACAAGTTAAATTTTTTAAAAAAGAATTTTATCTATTATTGCCTAAAAAGAGAAAGCTAGCAGTTAAGAAGGCCAATAACAGATTTTAAAAAAAGGAAAAAACAAAAACAAAACAAAACGCTTAGGCTTTAAGATTCTTCTTGTTTGACTAGTCTTACTTCATCATTATTTCATCAACAAAGCTCATAGACTTTCTAATTATATGACCAATTTTTAAATGCTGTTGACAATTTACTTATCAAATTAAATTAGTACATTATATAAGATGTGATAAAAAACTTAAAAAGAGTTTCTACTCTTTAAAAAAAACCAAAACAACAAAAAACCCCCAAGGGGCTGGGAATGCAGCTCAGTGGTAGAACATGTGCTTAACATGGGTGAAGACCTGGATTCAGTCCCTAGCACTGCTACAGAGACAAAAAATAAACTCCCTCTGCCAAAAGCATAAATGTGAGTAGAGGAGAAGGTGTAGCAGAAAAGGTGGCAGCTTTTCTTTGCCATACACTCCTACCAAAGGGCCCCATGTATCCTGAGGCTCTAGACTTTGGGGTGCAGAACCTGAGATTTAAGCAATGGGCCTGAGTCCACCAGTTCACTGTACACCTTTCTCCCCATCAGCCACTTGCCCCAGATGATGGCTCTTCCAGCTTGGCTCAGGTCCAAACTGGAAACATGATATCTCAGGGTTAATGCTACAATTAATAGGAATTTATTAAAAAACAACAACCCAAAGATTATTGTAATTGCAAATTTACTAGGCTGTAGTTTAGTAAGACACGGCATAGAGTGTTGAATAACTGAACCGTATCAGTGACTGTTAAATTTTTTAATAATAAACCTTTTGCTGTAAGTGAAAAAGGATTTCCTTGGGTCACAAATAATAGTGTAATGAGGGAAAAGCCAAGTGGCTTGAAGTTTAGAGGTCAAGGAGGACAGTTTGGTTTAAATTTGGCTTCTTTGACTCAAGTTTTCTCTGAGCTCTCAATTAAGGTGATAAATTTCTTTCTTATTTTGTTAGTCCTTCTTTATTGCAGCCAGTTACCTTTCCTTATCTCTTCAGTTCTATCTAGAAATAGTGGTCTGCAGAAAGGCTGTTTGAAGACCGGGATTCTTGGCCAGTTTGGTCACTACGATCCCATACATCTGGAGTTATAGCTTCACCATTTATTAGTTATATGACTGGGGGCAGTTTTCTTCTTTGTACAATAGATCACTGGACCTTGTAAGGATTAAATAATGCACTTAAAATCCTTGGCAGAATGCCTGGCACATACACTGGCAGTAGTGGCTGGAAATGCAGTTGCTGTCATTATGATTAGCTTCCATGGGCTTCATAATTCCAAAAGCATTATCCTTATTTTACAGAAGTGGCTCAAAGACATTCAGGGCTTATATAGGAGCACAGAGGAATAAGCAGCAGAGGAAAGACCAGAACCCAGACCTCCTTTCCACTACTGTTCTCTCCCATACAGCATGCTGCTTAAAGCAGGAGCAGAACTCATCTCCGATTCCGTACATCTGTATATGTTGTCAATGGACATTTATTTATTTATTTATCTGTGGTGCTGAAAATCGAACCCAGTGTCTCACAC